ATTAATATTCGCAATAAGTTTTAAACTTAAAGAATAGAAACTTGAAGAAATATGAAAAAAACATATTCTGTGAAAAAATCAGAACTTCAAAGCCTTTAAAACAAGATCACGCTAGATCTTGAAGATTAAAAACAAATTTCATGATTATTAAGAAAAAATAACCATAAAAATAAAATTAATTATTCAACGTACATAAAAATTATTCTATATCTAACCGAAAGCAATAGTGCATAACTACAAGTTCTATTGAAGAAAATAATCGCACAATTTTAATTTTTTAATTCTTTCGTCGTCTCGATCGATCAAATTATAAAATTAAATCGATACCTTAAATTTAAATGCAACAATTATATCTCTTTTACGACGAATTACGGAATAATCAAGGAAAAGTAGATCAGGAAGACGTATCTTTATCATTGAACGTTAGAGTAACCTTTCAACCATGGGTTGAATCCGTTGAAAGCACCGCTCTAATTCGCGTCTCGCTGATGGCGATGGTTATTAAAGTTCACGATATCGCTTTTACATGGCGACCCATCACTTTCGAATGGTTAACACGAGCCCAACCTCGCGTTTCATCGTTAAAACGCGCATTTCCACCCCCTCCGTCCGCCCTTTGAACACCAGATCGAGGCAGAAGGGCTGGGGGTGGCATAATTCTAATTGAAGGGAGAACACCGGTTGACGACTGATAATCAGTAGGAAGATTGGTTCGGAATGGGGGAAATTGATTTCGAAACGAGAAAATAGAATCGTCTGTGTTTACGGAATGCCTATTGTGCTCGAGGATGACTCTCGAAGAAAGCAATCAAGGAAATGAAATTTTAAAGAGGAATCGATGAAAAATGGAGAATAGGGATGAATGAAAATATCGTCGAGTTATTAGTATTGTTTTAATTTTTCTTGTTATTCTTTCTTTGAATTAACTAGGGACGCAATGGATCAGAAATAAGAATTTGAATTTGTGAAGTTGTGATTCGGGATAAGGGAATGGTGGAGTATAAGAGTGAAAATATCAAAAAAAAAAAAAAAAAAGAAATGAAATTTATATTTTTGTTTATTTTTTTATTATTCCTTTGCAAATTAATGAAATAAGAATAGAACATTAGCATAATATTGAATTATCGAGTTATCGTTATATTTTTCTTATTTTTCTCTCTTTTATGAATTAATGGAATAAAAGATGAGTTGATTTGAATTTGTAACTTGTGATTTATTAAAAATTGAGAATAATGAAATAAAGTATGAGGATGGAAATATCGTCAAATTATTATTTTTTCTTTGTTATTATGAATTTCTTTGTTTCTTTATGAATTGAAATGTGGCACAGATGAGAAACGAGAATTTAAGGTTTGTGATTTGCTAAAAACTAAACTAAAGTGAAATACAATATTGTGAAGTTATTATTTGTTTTACTAATTAATAAGATAGAGAAAAAGATATTTTTAGAAAATAAAAAAATTGAGTAAAAGTATAAAAGAGGAATAATACAATTAAATTACTATTTTACTTACTTTTCTTATTATCTATAAATTTTGCAAATTAATAATATGATGAGAAATATTCTGAATTAGAAATTGAAAAAGCATTGTTATTCTTATCATATTCATTATCATTTTTAAATACTTCATAGATTTATCTCGATTTTATCTGACGTTAAATCCAAATGTGACAAATATATAAAAATTTATTTCTAGTTAAATATTTTTTATCGAACAAACAAAATACAATTGCAAGATCTCGAACAAAAATTAGTCAGGGAATCGTGTAAAAATGTTATTGTTATAATTCAACGCGATAATAACTGGAATAATAATTATAAATTCACTTGGCGTTTTTGTGATAAAGTCATAAATCAACCTCAGTAATTATGTATAATTATTTTTTGTATATCAAATAGGAAGAATTTCATGATATCTCGTTTTTGGGAGAACGGAATTAATCGTTGAATAATAATCACTATTCATTATAATGGATGGAATCCATTTCGATGCGATGTGAACAACGAAACAACGTTGAAAAGAATTACGAACAAGTTTATTGGAGAGATTGCATAATTGTTGCACACGGCGTGTCCCATGAGAAATTAAAACTTATACAGAATTTAGCCAGTTATTCCGAATAAAAAGGGTCATATGAGATTCTGGAATATTTGATATTTAATTTAATTTATGTAATCATATATTTTTTGGTTGCAATTTTATTTAATACATCGTGCAGGATTTTTTTCAAAAGTTAATTATATCAGAATCGTGTCGTTGAATGTGTACAAAGATATTATTCTTTCTTAAATGGAATCGTATTATTTTGAATGTATTAATATCTTTTAAATAGTAATAATTTTTTTTTTTAATGGAAGACGTGTTAATTACATTTAATAAAAATAAAAATTGATCTTTACATTCTATATTCTATCAAAAAATTATTAATATCAATTTTTATTCGAATTATTTTTCAACATTATTATTAAAAATCAAGTGAGATATTCCAATTGTTCAAATTATTTTGTTCACTCTTTATATTATTTATCATTATATTTTATAATAGATGATGATATATTATTATATGGATATTATCCTATTAGCCAATTATGTCATTAATTTTACGTATAAAAGCTACGTATAATGAACGATTATATATGTATGTTCTTTCTCTTTCTTTTTTTATTAAATCATACATAATTGTTCATCTTTCATTCGTTTGCATAATATTAATAAGTTCAGTGGTGAGATATACGATTGTATCGGTGATATTGTAATTTAAAACAGGTTTATATCATTTTCAGTGCACTTTGATCTTTCCATCCAAGCCATTGGCGTTTCCAACACGTATACACGTATAAAACAATAATGACGCACATTTCGTGAATGATTTTAATGAAAACGTGTTAAGTATAGTCGATTGAGCGTTCCCTATTGTGCGTTCCCTAAACAAAATTCGATAACAATATTTCTTTAACAAAAATTATGAGAAACTATTAAAGCGCAATTTTTTATAATTAAAAGCGATAATTTTTTTTTAATACAATTTATATAAGAGAAATAAAATTATATTATCGAATTAATTCTTTAATAAAATATTACTACATTACTACAATAATAATATAAAATATTACTAATATTATATACTTGTTAGAAGCTAAGAAGAACAATGTTTATTTTACATAAACTAACATCTTTTAACATATATAATGATATTAGATGTTAGTTTGGAGAATAAAAGCAAACATAGAAGTTTAGTATTAGTATTACTACAATAATAATATAAAATATTACTAATATTATATACTCGTTAGAAGCTAAGAAGAACAATGTTTATTTTACATAAACTAACATCTTTTAACATATATAATGATATTAGATGTTAATTTGGAGAATAAAACATAGAAAGTTTGATATGTAAAAATATCGAATCGAAGCTTGTTTATTAAGGTGAAATTTGTATTATGATGAAGCGAGATGAAGATAGGCGAAAAGGCACGATGTGACGAAGATAGAGCTGTCTAGATTAAATTAATATTTAATATTCGGTTCAAATCATTAATTATTTCTTTTCACACGAATGGTTCTACGATGATTTAGTTATCGTATTAAGCAGCAATAAAACTAATCTGATGAAATATTAACTAGAGACGAAATACGTATTGACATAATTCAGAGATATTCTCAGAGACCATGGTCGAATTTCATTAGCATACGATGTTGTAATCAATTTAATTAAATCGTGATATATAATATTGATGAATAAATTGATTTAATAATAATTTAATTTCTGTATTACTCTGTAACGATAAAGCAAAGAATTTTTACTAAAAAATTATGAACAATTCTGTAATTACCTACAATTCTATAATTAAGATGTTCCTTAAATTATTCGAAATCTATTTTAATTTTTTAATTTTCTTCATCTTTCTAATTCAAATTAAATTATCTATACCTGTTCGTATTCTAATTATGAAAAAGAATTTAGATTCCAGATAGATATCTCTAAAATGACGTAACACTTTCATGCTCACGTGACATTAAAAATTATTAGATTTAATGTCTTAGCATGATAAATGATGATAATAGTCTCTAACGTGATATTTAGATGAGATAGACGATTTTTAAAATATGATTTTAATATTTCTAAGAAATATTATTAGCGCTGTTAACCTACATACCTGTCGTAGATAAAAATTAAATTAATAAACTAAACTAAAGAAATTAAACTAAATTAAAGAACAAAAGTGAATAGACTATGTTTAACATTTTATTATAAATTTAAACTGATAATTAATAATGATCTCTCTGATGATTATAGGAATAGAAGAGAATCGGGGAAAATGGAATCACTTTCCCTTTTCTTGTAATTTTGATAACTAATCCAATTATTTTTAATCCGCACGATTCAAATTGAAAAAAAGAGAATGAAACACCAGCTAATCATTTCCCTCGGATTTGTGGAAAATAGGAGATATCAGATCAAAATGAATAAAATTTTATTTGAATATTTTATTGATAGTTTTACAAATATATCAGAATAGTATACAAAACAAAAATGATCATTTTTTTACATAACATGATCAATTTCTAATTATTTTTTTTCAAAAATTAGGACATGTGAAAATGAAACGATCGTTTATTCAAAAATAAAATAATTTTCGTGGGAAAATAATCTTTTTACAAGGAGGATAATGACTCGGTAAGTCACAGCTCTCAATTAACGGATTGAAAATGTGTCCTTCCAGACATTTTTTAAGCGTCTTTATTCCATCAATGCATAAGTAATATAGATTGCAGTTTGTTTCGTGCGGTATACTTTTTTTCCCACTTTCTGGACATATTGAAATCGATGGAACTGTCGGTGATGATGGTGTCGACGGTGATGATGTTGGTGACGATGGTGTTGGTAACGATGGTGTCGACGGCGATGGTGTCGACGGCGATGGTGTCGACGGCGATGGTGTCGATGGCGATAGTGTCGAGGGCGATAGTGTTGATGACAATGGGGTTGGTGACGATGGTGTTGGGGACGATGGTGTTGGTGGCGATGGTGTTGGCGGCGATGGTGTTGGTGGCGATGGTGTCGATGGCGATGGTGTCGATGGCGATGGTGTCGATGGCGATGGTGTCGACGGCGATGGTGTCGACGGCGATGGTGTCGACGGCGATGGTGTCGATGGCGATAGTGTCGATGGCGATAGTGTCGATGGCGATAGTGTCGATGACAATGGTGTTGGTGACGATGGTGTTGGTGACGATGGTGTTGGTGGCGATGGTGTTGGTGACGATGGTGTTGATGGCGATGGTGTTGGTGACGATGGTGTCGATGGCGATGGTGTCGATGGCGATAGTGTCGATGACGATAGTGTCGATGACGATAGTGTTGGTGGCAATGGTGTTGGTGACGATGGTGTTGGTGACGATGGTGTTGGTGATGATGATGTTGGTGACGATGGTATTGGTGACGATGGTGTCGATGGCGATGGTGTTGGTGACGATGGTGTCGAAGGCGATGGTGTCGACGGCGATGATGTTGGTGGCGATGGTATCGAAGGCGATGGTGTGGACGGCGATGGTGTTGGTGACGATGGTGTTGGTGACGATGGTGTCGACGGCGATGGTGTTGGTGGCGATAGTATTGGTAACGATGGTGTTGACGGCGATGGAGTAGGTGTCGGTGGCGATGGCGTCGGTGGATTATTATTATTGGGACAATTTAAATTGGGGACATTGAACGACCAATCGCAGACTTTTTCTTTCGAATTCCAGACCAGTCGATCTCCGTTGCCACGATTTGGGCATTCTATTGGACATATCATTTTTGTGCATTTGTAAAAATTGTGACAGTTTTTCGGATCACTCATAAATATCGTTTCGTTAGAATCTTCTTTTGGACAATCAATGTATCGAACGCAATTAGACTCTTTTGGAGTTTGTGCCATTGCCAAAGAGATGGCAACAAATGACAGATATAAACCTGAAAATTTGTAAAGAACAAATATTATTAAGTTTCTTGAATTATCCGTATCGGCATATTTATAGCTATCATGTGTTTGGTAATTTTTTTTCTATATACAAGTTAGAGTTATACATGGATATATTTCGTAAAGAAACGAGATGAGAGGAGTTAAGCACTCGTTTCCACTGTATAAGCAATAAGTGCTTTGATTTTATATCAAAAATTAAAGAAAGTTCTCGATGAATATTGATCTTGGATAGAAAAAGCAGTTGTAAAACGACAAAAAATGCAACAAAGTCTAAAATGATTGTGCTATATATGTGCTGAGAAGATATTCATTTACCTTTCATTTTTAATAATAGCTGACTTGAATTTAAGAAGTAATGTTGTTATTACTTATTGCAAGCCAAACTGACAAATTGTAAAGATATCGACTCGTGTTTTATAGTTGGACTGGTTAGCTCATTAATAAATCTTTTATCTTATCACGAGAATGTGTTCTTTCGTTTCATTTAACTTACATTACATTAGTAAAATTTTATTTATTCTTCATTATTTTTTTCTTTCCTTTATGTTTGAAAGTTGATTTCTTTTTAAATGAATATTTGCATTGTCACAAAACCTATAATTTATGGATCTATTTCTATATGTAATGTATTTTTTAGATACATATATCATTTTAATAGAAAACAGATGTGGATTTAATGAAATGTATCTTGACAATATTTAATTTAAATATAATTTTTATTAACTTCAAACTTTCATAATTATCAATAAATTCATAATATAAGAATGGAAAATTCTTTATTACGATCGATAATATAAAAGCAATAAAAATGACAAAATGAAAAAAATCTGTTTAAAAATGATATTTAAAAAACACAAAATATTAAAATAATTTCAAAATTTACACGTTAAATCTAAGAATTATCGGGAAATTTTAGAATTAGCTTTTTCACATGCTATACGTTGTAATTAAAATATAAACATATTCTCTTGCATAAAGCAGATGTTAATTATATCATCTTGAAAAGACTCACGCAAAGTGTTATTATTTTTTCATCATTAATAATTGATAATTACAACGATACAATTTCAATTTCTTCATAATTGATCAACACTGGATTAATTTTACAAAATATAAACATTCCAATTATCAATTTTTTCAAACCTAAATTTAAAAATTTTATGCGTTCCCTCGATTATTCATAGAAACAAAATCGCCGCTTTGATGGCCGCTCAAAGGGATTTCACGATTCTAACTGTTAGTTTCGCATGATCATCGCGATATTTGACCCTTCGTTTTCATTGAAATTTCAAAGCAACAAATCGAATTGAATGTTCGAAGCCTGCAGCTTTTAATTAAAGCAAATCACAAAGATGCGTAAACAAACGCTTATAGTAAATGGACGTGACAATTGGGGAGACGTGATAATAGAAAAGCTTTGTAACAATAGGATCGAAAAAAATATATGATATTAAATATGAGAACTTTGTTGCAAAGTTATTATATTTGCTCGTTTGTTCGTAGTTTGCAATGGACAAAATCATTTTCGAACTTGAAGATTATTTTTGTCAATAAATATATTATTCTTTTTTTATAATTTAACGTAAAGTGTTTAATTTAAAAATTGATCTACTTATCTTATAAAAAAAATAATTTTCACCACTTGTTGATATTCCCCTTTGAACAAAACAATTTTCGTTAAAACATTTTTTTGATGTATATTATATTTACAATTATTATTCATCTTTAAATTCCCACTCCTCCTTATCTATTGAAAGATTATCAATTAATTTAAAATTGGAGTAATCTTCGTGCAAAACTTTTGTCATCATCGAATTTTCACTCGTTAAATCTTTTTTGAAAATTTCGACAATTCAGGGGCTTTAATTCTTTTGCTGAGTTTCAAATTATCGAGATAGGATCCATTCCACGTGGAATCATATGTTCCAGAAGTTCGCGTGTACACAGCCAGGTTAAGATCGGATGTGTATTCAGCTCAGGAAGCTCGTGGCCTGTGAAACACCTTTCACGTCGAAACTAATACTCTTAAAACGATACCGTTTCCTTATCTTCGTTGGAAAAACCCTCGTGGTTTGGTTGGTTCTGGTAATAAGGGTATGTAATAAGGTTTTAGTATCTGCGAGTGAGTCGTATGGCGAGAAATGTTTCTCAAGAGAAGTTAAACTTTTCTAGAAGCAATAAAGATATAATCTGTAGAAACTGTGGTTTGATCGATCAGATAAAATTCAGGATTAAGATGTTCGTCTGTTTATGAATTTATTCTTCATTTTTTTTTTTATCTGAATAAATAAGATTTAACTTTTTTCATATTTACATATAGCAACTTTTGTTTGTTCTTTTTGGCCTAATAAACATGTAACATGGTATACTTAATGTTAATTTATTATTAACATTTATTATTAATATATTATTCGTTAAAAGTTTAACTTAGATTCGAATAAAGTGAGGTTAGGTTACGTTTAAGGAAGGAACGTTCTAATTTTGTTTAATTATTAATTAGTGGTTTCATTCATTATTTAAGAACAAATTCAACAAACCCTAATATATTCATCAATTTGAATAAATAAATATGTAAATAAAAAATATAATAAAAGTTCAATTTCAATTCTCGTTTCGACGAAATATCGATCAAAATATGAAAAATTAATATGAAAAAAAACGAAACCAGTTTAGCAAAGATAAAATTAGACAAAGGTTAATGTCTAAAATTTACATTGACGAAGCAATATGGTGAGTGCATCGAGAAAGTTTGAGAATGTTCGCAACTACGACCAAGTTTTCGAGAACGCTGCCACACAGTGGGCAAAGGAACGTTCACCAACGACCCTGACTTTGGTCCTTTCTCTCCGCATCTAGTCGTTCCGTTAGTCGACTACATATTGCAACAGGCGGCGCAGCGTGACGCTGCTACATTATTAAGAAGTTAGTGTAACGCGACGAAGACATCGTCCCCCGTGGATGCAGCTGTGAGCGGCAAGTTGCTCTTCATCGTAGGAAAATCCAATAATCGAAACTAAATTAGCCAGGCTAACTTTTTTTTTTTTTTACCGACCGAGCAATCCTGCATCTCTTGCAAGAAATCCAAGAAACTCGAAATTCGTGAAATCGACTTAAGGGGGTTGGTGGTTACAAACGACGCTTTGTTCTTCATGGAATTGAAATTGGAATGGAGGTAATGGGAGGAGGAAGAAGGATTGTGGAGAGTGATGGAAAGTTTCTGAGAGAGTGTGGTGTGATTGTTACCGAGGATTTTGGGATGAATGGAAATTTTTATCAAGGAAATTATGTGGTTCTTGATTTTCTAACCACCAGATTGGTTATAAACGATACGATTCGTTTTTAATGGAATTGAAGTTGGAATGAAGGTAATGAGAGGAGGAAGAAGGATTCTGGAGAGTTTGGTGGAAAATTTCTGAGGGAAAGGAGTTTGTAAAGTAGTTATGAGGATGGTAAGGAAGAGGAATCCTACCTTCGCAAGATTCGATTCTTCGATTCAAAGTAATTTGTTTAAACGCGAAACAAAATGAATTATTAATCATCTCTGATTATTATTTTCAAAGGATACAAATTAAACTTGAATCTCCATCTGAACCAGCATCAAACTTTACGAACTGGTGGAAACTAGAGAAAATTTCGTGCATCCCTTTAACGTTTCTATTTCATTTATATTCTGCGCCGCTTCACTGGAGGGCATTGAAGGCACGGTTCACTTGTTTATTCTTTATTAAAGTAGCGCTGAAAATATTTCGTTTCAAAAAATAAAAAGTCGTCTCGTTTCGAAATACGAAATAACTTGGAACGAGATATTTTCTTAGTCTCGATAACACGAAACGACATCGAGAAATATTTTACAAATCTTATATTAACTGAATAACGAAGAATTAACGCGAAGAAACGTGGAATTATCAATGGACTTTCGCGTGTCGAACAAAATTGCCATAAATTTTGCATATTCATGGATCTGGATTATCATTGTTTACACACGAGAACGCAACGCGCCATTATTAATGTCTTCTCTTTTGTCTACCGATTTTCTCACTAAATTTCTAAATTCCTTTTGCGGTATCGCTGTTCAGTTGTTTCATTCTCCGTCCAACGAAAAGACGAAAAGACGATTTTTAATTTGATTATTAAAGAAATCGATCGAAGTCGAAAAACATTAGTGTATGGGAAAAAATTGAAAAGCGAGAAATCTTAATTTTTCGTTGAGTTTAATCCATGTACAAATTGCGATTTCATGAAGAAATGAATAAATATAGATTTACACTTTCATGCAAATTAAAATAATAAGGAGGAGTAATATTTCTGATTTGAGGACTTAAGGATTTGAATACGTTGTCTGATCATGTATAGGTATGATATGTATAGGTTTCATTTGAAAATATGAAATAGAAGGTATATTTATTTTTTCTTCTAAATTAGAAGATATTTTTAACTGTGTTAAGAGTGTCTATTAGATCGTACATATCAATCCAAAGCTTAATATTAATATATGTAGATAAATATATGCAATATTTACGATATATAATTGTTGAAGAATAAAAATGTACATTAATACATCACAAAGAAATGCAACAAGACTATTATTATAGTTAATAGAATTATCAATTTATCATTTAAATATTTAAATATATTAACAAGCATATGATTATTTTTCTATCTGAATAAAAACTAATATTAATAATAATAATAAAAATCACTAATCCATTTAATTTAACTAACTTTTAATGTAATTAATAAACGTGGATTGATAACAGAATAAATATGTTCCATTGTATATAATTTATATCTTTAAAATAGAACGAAAGAATTGTTACATTGTAGTAATAAATTGCGGAAAATTTAATGTTCATAGTATTTTGAAAATAGAATAGAGTAAAATGAGCAATATTTCGTCGAAACAAAGTGACCAGTGGTTTATAACATTGATCAGTCGTCTGTTCGACGATTTATTTCTAAATTTGTCAG